AAAAAACCTCAAAGCTCCATATGCCTGGTCTTGGCCTCGAGATACTTCTCCATTTTTCGTAGTTTTCTGTCCATCTTTTCGTGCTTAGCCTCCAATTCAACATCTTCAACTGTATGGAGAAGCATTTTCCCTTGTTTTGCACGTTCGGCACGACGGGCTTCTAATTCTTGCTGCAAAATTGATCCAGTCTATTGACGACTGATCTTACAAGAGAGACTTATTCAAGACACCACTCACTTTGTGGAATGCCATCTTTTTGAGTTGCTTATCGAAATGCGTAAGCTCCTCTTTCATAACGTTGAGATCATGTTCAGAGAAGTTGCCATTAGTTTGCGCCTGAAACATTTCCATGGCATCGGTCTAAAGGCAAGTGAACAAATTACCGCTTTCCACAACCGTCTAACACGTTCATTTTCGAAAAGAGTGGTCTTATCGTCTTTTAGTTTTTCAGTCAACTGCTCAATATGATCGGACATTTCGCGATATGCTTTCTTAAGCTGACTTTTCTAAAAAAACAGGAATGATGATCTTGATGACATGAAAGTAGGCATACCTTGTCTTCTATCGATGCAGTTTCATCATGCAAAATGGAATTCTCGACAGGGATCTTCAATGAAGTATATAAAAACTCGGAAAGCAAGAAATTCGGCAACCTTATTTGTCTCTTGCAACACGTCCTTGTAAATCCTGGTTTTTCTTTCGGCGTCTTTCAGCTCCTTGTGAAGTGCTGAAAATAGCTTCAGTGCATAAACTGTTCGAATAAATTGTTTTTTTTTTCAGACCGATGATTATGGTGATTTATATCTAGTTCATAAATAAGTGAAAGATCGTAAAAGACGCAAACCAACTTCTCAATTCGTCGTCAGAAAACATTCCCTTCTTTGCTTTCTCCCATAATTTCTGGAGTCTTTCATCTTCGAAACTTTCCAGCTCAGCTTTCCACTCTGTTGAATGCAGAGGCTCGTTTTTATGCTTCATCTTCTAGGAAAAAATTACTTAGAGGATGATTAATAACTCTGACTCCTTACCATCACTGGAGAACTGGACTTGAAGGCAGTGTCCACCCAAAAGGTAGATTTTGAGATTTTGTGCTTACGCGGGCATACTCGGTACGCCGAATCCGAAAATCCACAATGGAGAACGCGAAAACCGCAAAAAAGGGCTCTAACGCAGGAGGGAAA